GGCGACCTTCCGGCTAGTAGCATACTGCCAACTACGCTACCACGGGCCACAACACAACACAGTACTTCCGTATATAGATGCTAAAGACGCAAAAAAAAAAATGGGGGAGAGTCTTAGCACATTTCCACTTAAGTTGGCCGCGTCTGGGTGAAACGAAGGTAACTAACATAAATGTCTTTCGCTTCAGGTTGGCCAAGAAATTCCTCGCCTTTAACGGAACTCTTTTAAGTTTCATTAACGTGTACACAAACAAATAAAACAAAAAAAAAAACACAAATTCCGTGGCCTATAGTCCGCAAGCGAACTATACCGACCGAGCGACCGCCGCTTGTCAGCGAAGTTACTGCCAACATTTGCGGACAGGGNGCGGATAGGTGTTGCGTGGTCAGCGCAACGAATCCCCACGGCTGTTAATCTCGGTTTTCTAGATCGGAGCCCCTATTTCCTTGAAATAGCTCCTCAATTATCCTCACCAGGCTGAGTAGACCCCGTTCCAGACCAACTACTTCTCAGAAAATCTGGCAGCGCCGGGAATCGAATCCGGGACGTTTGGATCTGTAGCCAGGAAAACTGATCACTAGACCACAGAGGCGGTCACACCACGTTCAAAACAGCCCATAATTCGGTCTTCCTTAAACGGCTGAATCTTCGCTATGCCCTCACATACTACTTTTTAAGATGTCTTCCATATCCCCCCACTCACGCCAAGATCTTCCAAGTGGTCTCTTCTTTCCATGTTTTCCGACTTCATATGGATTTCATCTGTCTCTCATGCCAGCTACATGTTCCGCTCATCTCATCCTTTCGGAATTGATTTGATAGTGATGAGTAGAATTTACGACTCGTAGTTGGAATATCAGGTATCCAGGGCTCATTGTGTTAAAACAGTTTAGGTCAACGTATTGGAATATTGATCAGAAGAGCTACAGCTGTACTCAGCAGATGGCACTGCTCTTCACTACAACTGTAAACTCATTGCTGGATTATCAAGAAAGCTGAATAGCAGAACGACAAAGTGCTAATATCCTCACTGTGTAATTTTCTCTGTGATTCTCCTAATTATATATTCCTGTTCTTCCCAACATTTTGCTCTCAACTGACGAATACTAGCAGACAAAAGACAGTGACCTAACTGCTAGGAAGCACGTGATTTCTCCACTCACGTTTAAATACTAGGTCTGTGAAGGAACGTATTAGCAATTTGGTGAGAAGCTGATTATATTTTGCGAGTGAACTTGTAAAAATTTAAGAGGAAGAGGTCATATTTAAGCTATTATGTATTTGATATCTCCGATGATGCACGGTCTTCCTTCATATGTTTAGGATACCTTGCTCATTATAAACACTTGAACTAAATCGATTTCACGACATTACCTCACACCCTCTCCATACGCACTCAGTGAACACAAAGCTAGCCCAACATGTATTGTCTACATCAAAACTGTAAGACCGTGACTTGGCAATCAATAAACGGTAAAGCTATCCCTGTGCTTATTTACTCGTAATTAAGCACTATTCCATGAAGACGTACTGTGGGGAATGGAGGTATAACTCCACCGTACTTGGCCTCGTCACTAGATGAAGGTGTGGTCAGTTTCACGCATCGGGCCGCCTTACACCCAGACTCGGCTCCAGAGCAGGTCTGAGGCTAAGAAAAAAAATCTTAACCCTGCAGGGAAGCAAACCCCGGCATTCCAGCCCGTAGCTATACCGAGCTATCCTGGCTCCTTTGGTTATCAATAAGCTTGGCCGCTCCATAGCTCATGCTGCCTTCCCACCGCGGCGGCCCGGGTTCGATCCCGGGTCTGGTCAAGTGGCGATGAGGCGGATTTTCTCCAAGTACTTCGATTTCCCCTGCCAATCTTCATTCCACCAAAATCTCCATCATCATAATCACCCGGGGCAGGTACAATAGGCCAATCAGTGGCCGCTGTGCCGAGTGGACCCAGCTGGACTCCACCCCCTACTAGCGAATTAAATTTTTTTATCAATAAGCTGAAATTTAATTAAAAACTGGAGAAGAATAAGTGAGCTGTGAAAACCACAAGGCTCGTACTCGGGAGGTACAAGTTCGAATCCCGGCCGGGACTGGCTATCTTCGTTGAGATGTTTTGTTGAGTGTCGACAGTCCCTCCAGGCAAAAGCCAGGATAGTACCACGATTAAGCCACTAACGCTTCCTTCCAAATCCTTTCCAATTAATCATTCATATATCGCCCTACCACTCGACCCTACAAAGTGTAACTGCTACAGCGTCGTTCATTCTTCCGTAACAAAAGAGATGTTACAGTTTATTTAAGAGGGCTCATTATCAAATACATGCGGTACCGTCGTTGGTTGAGGCACTACTCTACAAACAGGAAGGTCACGGGTTCGATTCCCGGTGTCACTGGATTTTTTTCAAGTGTCCTAATCCTTTCAGCCGCACTACGGCCCTAGGGTCGACTCAGCCTCTAAGAGAAATGAGTACCACGAATTTCCCTGGCTGTAAAGCGCGGACGGCGTGTAAGGCCATCTATAAGCCGACTGTCTAGAAAATGTGGGAGCCACAATTCACAACTCTGTGAACCTTCACGGCCTGCTAGAGGGATAGCTTTACCTTTACCTTACCATTATGAAATACTGGAAGATAAAACAGGAGATGAGGCGCCACAAATGGGGACGATGAAAACGCTTAAGCAATTTTTGTCGAAAAAAACCTGAAGGAAAGAAACAACTTATTAGATCTAGAAAAGATGGAAGGAAGATTAATATAACATGAATCCTAAAATAACAGATGTGAGAGTCAGACTGGAATCATGATATAGTCCAGTGGCGTGATCCTGTGAATAAGACGATGGAATTTCGGGTTATTTCGGAAGCATCTGAGGCCTATCCATCTATCGTAAACGACTATCGTAAAGCGGTTCTTCGCCGGTCACGGTCGCTGAGCGGTCTAAGGCATGTACTGTCCTCGCTCTCTTGGAAACCGGGATCGTGGGTTCTAATCCCACTCAGTGCATGGATGTTTAGTTTGTGTGTGTGCGTTTTTCTGTGGTTATGTACAGGTAGAGGCCTTGCGAGGAGCTGATCACCAGCCCAAGGAGTCCTACCGAATGTGTAAGATCTAGAAAGACCGAAGTGAAGGGAGAAGTTCATGGAGGTAGGCCTAGGCCCACTGGGGATGTAGTGCCAAGAAAAAAAATCAGTTCTTCATATCGATATGACCTAATTTTCTTCACAGTCTCTGCGGGGCATGGAAATACGCTCCGCATAATTTCTTTTGTTTTCTGTCAACAACAAAAAAAATTGCGTTTATCCTCAGTTACATTGTATCGCTCACAATCAGTGGAAACCCCAATTTAAGATTCGTTAATTTAAAGTTTTCCTCGTTTAACGAAAAAATTCAAAGATCCAACTGTTATGTTTATTATATATACGATATACATATATATATACATATATATAATGATTCTTCTTCTGTTTAGTTTTCAATTCCACTGTCTTCAAAGAAAATTAAAATGGAGGTTATAACATTTCAATTATAATTAAACGAGTGACTCTCCCCAGTTTAATAATAATTCTTAATGGGGTCATCTACGGAACAGGGTAATGAACCTTCGGGTTTCATAAAATGCTGGGAAGTTCTTGAGTAGCTGCATAACTGGCGACTTCTCCGTGAATGACTGATTGAGTAATAATCGTCAACTGCTGTACCATAATATTAGTCAGTTCTTCTGGGACATGACGCCGTGTAGTCCGATAGCAGTTCATCGACATTTCAGAGGGAAGTACAGCCTCCACCTTCGCGATCGAATAGTGTGCCGAACAAGAAGAAAACTGAGCAGTTATTGTTTTGTATAAACGTGAAAATTGATCTCGCACTGTAAGGGAAAATCACAGAGCAGAAGCGTGTAAGAAAACGGTACTAGAGAGGTACATCTGCTACTGTAATAAAACCGTGCGAATGGTTCAAGCAAAGTCTGCCGCGTTAGACAATAGCTTTTCAGTCCGCCTGGGCCTGCCGGCTCCGGCGATCTACACTAGCTAGCTGCCTCCATGACTCAATCGTCTACCCCCAACATGGAGACAGTACCTCCGAAATGTCAATGAGAGTCTATCGAACTACACGACGTCACATTCCAGAAGGCAGTAATCTTCACAGCCATAATTTTGACACTCTCAAATATAATGCATAATAGTTCGTTTATGAGGCTTCTACAGGAGTCACGCAGTAGCGTAGTTGGTTGAGGCACTAGACTTACTTACTTACATTTCTTTTATTGCTAGTGGGGTGGGACTAAGTGCCTTGTACTGTGGCCATTTCTGGCCTATTGTAC